TTGGTAGGCCCAACTGAGGTCAGACTCTCCGGCTGGTTATGGGGCCTTCTGTAGTGGAAAACAGTGCCAGCAAACTTGTATCGGCCTGGCCAGTCCACAGTCCAGTGTCCATTCAGGTAGTATCTTTGGTGGGCATTGCGTACAGAAATGTAGGAGGTAGAAGCATTCACTTCATAGATGTGGATCGTCTGGGCTCCAGCAGGAATGGTGACCATCTGATAATACTCTAGAGTGGAGGAGAGCATGGTGTTTCATCAAACAACAAACATCGAGGCGAAAGTTCTGAGCACTATGATTCCCCAAATCTAAAAACCAAGGGTCCACACTTTTACCAAAAGAGTATTTGTTATGAAACTTAGTTGTATTAAGTGGCTTTTTCTTTTCTTTCTTTCTTTTTTTAAAGTCGAGCAGAGCTATTGTAATTTCAACTATTCCTAAGGACTACTTTGGCAGTTTGCATCAGACAAATTGGATGCAGACCTCTTTGTAACATTGAAGAGAAATGATGTCACTTTGAGAACGAAGGGCTTCATGTATTTGTAATTGCCTCATATGTATATGAAAAGTGGACAATGGGTTGTGATGTTGGTAAAGAATAATGAATGTACTATGGATTGCCAGAAGAACAAACTAATCTGTCTTGGAAAAAGTACAGTCAAAATGTTCCCTAGAGACAAGAATGGTGAGACTTCAACTCACGTACTTTGGGCACGTTGCTAGGAGAGACCAGTCCCTGGAGGAGGACATCATGCTGATAAAGCAGACTGAACTCAAACTCACTGCTGTCAGGCCAATTCTGACTCATGGCAACCCCATAGGGCAGGATAGAACTCCTCCTTTGTGTTTCCAAGACTAACTATTTATGGAAGCAGAAAGCCTCATCTTTCTCCATTGGAGCCACTTGTGCCTTTGAACAGTTGACCTCATGGTTATCAGGCCAATTCATAACCACTATGGTACCAGGGCTTAAAGTAGAAAGTCAGAGAAAAAGAGCAATGCCCTCAAGGAGACGGATTGACGCAGTGGCTGCAACAATGGGCGTAAGCCTAGTAATTGTGAGGATGGTGAAGGACAGGGCAGTGTTTCATTTTGCGGTGCACGGGGTCTGACTCAAAGGCACCTAACAGCAACAATGACAACAAAGAACTGCTTAAACCCAAATACCCTAGCAATCATCCCCAATCAAAATAAGTTTGAGAACAAAGCCTAGCCTAAAGGAGGAAGTGAACCCATAAGACTTTTAGACCCCCGACCCTCTCGCGGTCACCTTAAGCCTGTTCTGTAAAGCAGTTCTAGGTTACAACTTGCTGAAGGTCCAGTAGCACTCACGGTTTGTGTGGTGATGCTTAGCATAGAGACCCTTGTGGATCATGCAGTCTGAGTTATTTCCTTTGCACACACCGCAGGAGTCTTCAATGGCATCTGACCCAAGAATATTGTCACAGCCAACTCTCTGGAGGACCCCACCATGCCATACGCCATTCATAGAAGAAAAGACAATACAAGCAAAGATGTCACAGTCTACAAGCAAGAAATCTCCCCAGGATCCTTTAAAATTCATCAGTGCTGTGACTTTAACAAATATTTATTGGATACCCAATATGTGTACAGTGAGACTTCCTGCTTCTACAATGCACACCCAAGATAAGAAACTTGTCAGTGTGAAATCAGTGTTCTCTCTGTCTCTTTTCTTTTTTTAGCATTATTGAACTTTCAGGGAAATACATCACATAGTCGTGTTGGAAACACAGGTGAATTAAAGACTAAAATGAAGTATTTCGGACAATGACAAACAATGTGTCCACACATAGCTCCACTCGACAAATGCCAGTGTTCTTTTGAATGTCCTCCATACTGGCAAGAATTAAAGGATGCCACATGGAAGTCATCCCTAACGTTAGGGTAGGTGACAGGTGTGCTCACTCAAGGTTACAGAATTTCAGTAACCCTGGCAGTTCCTATGATGCTTCTTGCTTTGTATTTCCTGGTGGTGCACTGGTTAAAGTGCTTGGCTTCCAGCTACAAGGTTAGCGTTTTGAACCTGCCAGCTGCTCTGCA